TCTCCAAGCTGCTGGGCTGCATATTGGCAATTGGATCAGTATCTGCCAATATGACTCCTTAATAATCGTCCATTGGTATTGGCCCAAAAAATCTTTATTGGTGCACCCCTACTTACAGTCCAAGAGGTTAAGCATCCAGGTTCTAATATCCCTAACTTCTAGCATGCTGCCTTCAAATCAGTGAGTTGAGAGGGCCTAATACCCCTTGATAGGCGCTTTCCAGCTTTTGTAGCATATCGCTTCTACAGGAATGAACTTCATTCTTTACAAATTGAATGCTTCTATATCTATTGTAGATGTCTAAAATGTGCACTCAGCTAACAGTGTCATTTCTTAAAACAGAACATACCAGTTTCTGAGATGGAAAGTTATGGTATTAATTTATATGAACAAGTCACATATTTAGTAATATCATAGTTCAGAAATTAAAGTGTGGTTTTACATGTTTAGAGTAAGTTCTTTTGTTATGTGAACAATGTAATAATCTGTTCTACTTAAAAAAACAAACAAAAAATCCTTCCATACCAACAGCCTTTTACCAAACTCTTGCATTTATTTAGCCGTTAATTGTATCTGACCTTGAGTTGAAGTTAATGATGTTAATATGAAAACACTTCTAGCCAAACTTACTCTGTATTAGAAATTCTTTTCAGGTTCCCCCTTTGTTCAAACAGCCCCCTCAGTGGGCTATAATTCCCTCAACTCCAAAAAATAAATGAAGTGGCAATAAATACAACTTTGATATCTACTGTGTTTTGAGTTCCAAGTTCTATACCCTTGAAACTACCTTTTGTCTCTTTGAAGTTGATGACTGTCCATGATTATGCCTATATTACCATATTTACTTGAATATAAGATGTTCCCCCATAATTAGTTTCTATATATGGAAAATGTATAAATTTGTTATAATTTTCCAGTAATAGAATCAAATTATTGGAGGTTTGCCTTGAGTATGTCCCCCTCCAACTTCTACAGCAGGGAAAATAAATCTGGGGGGTCAGATAGCCCCCTTGCCCTTTGCCCCCAACTTCTTCTCCTGTAACTCATTCCCATCTGCCCACACCCACTTTGTCAGACCCTGCTCTTCTTGAGCACGTGAAAATGAGGAGCAAATTTGAAAATACTATCTTTGAAATAAATATGCCTGTAGTAATTTGCACATAAGCAAATTACTATGGGTACCCATAGACTTACGCTGCAAGTTTTAGCACAGCTAATCCATAAACACCCTTGTAAGCAGCACTCTTGTACCTACTTATATGTAGTACAAACTATGCATGATACTAGCATTGCTCAGTATGTATGTATATTCCAGATACGCCCCTCCCCTCTGCCCACACACACAAAGGATCCATGTGCTAATTAGCCCCCCACTTATGACTGGAACTGAGTTTTCTTGTCAAGTCCTGGGATCCTTCAAAATTTTATATGCAGGTAAGGTGCAGGGCAATCTAGGCTGGCTGCACCGCATGGAGGGCAGGGCCACATTAATCACATGCGACAGGCTGAGGACAATAGAGGGACTCTGGGCAAACTGCTTGGGGCCCTGTTTTGTGATGTTTGCCAGACATTTAAGGCTGGTGAAAACATAGGTGCTGACTTTGGTTTTTGGTGGTGGGTGTTTGCTGATGTAAAAAAATTTAAATTAAAAAAATCATGCTTTAGTTTAAACTTGGCATGTTTCTGTGTTGAGCCCTGCGCGTGCCCAGAAGAGTGCCTATCATGGGGTTCAATTCAGTTTGCCTGACGTCTGTAAAGATTGGGTACTTTAGTTGTGCTTTTTTGGGACTTTTATCTAATAGCTGATTGAATCAGTTTTAGCTAAAAGCATCAAAAAGTCCCACTAAAGCACCCAATTACAGACATTGAAGAGCTGTGTTGAAGTAACACGCTGCTTCTTTCGGTAAAGTGTGGGGGGATTTCTGCAGGGTTGGGGGAGCATGATTTAACATCTGCAAGCAGAAATCTAACATGTAAAATCAAAATGGCTATGGGTTGTTGCTGCTGAGCATCTGCTATTTTTTTTGGTGGGTGCTTGAGCCCCGGAGCACCCGCAGAGTTGGCGCCTATGGATGAAGAAACAGGAATCATTGGAAATGGGAAAGAAAGGCGTAGCTCAGCTGTGGGAGTGAAGAGGAAGTAAAAATGTGTGTAGTGTAGTAGCTCACCACGACTTGAAAAAGAGTCAGTGCTGAAGGGGAGTGAATACAATGACATTTCTTATTCAGATGGGTTACACTAATTTATCTTTGGTAGTCTTGGCCTTTCTACCAAGCACTTTTTCTTGAAGGGAAAGGTATCAGGGCTGGCTCTGGCCCTTCCAATTTTGGCCTGGTATTGCAGTGCCTTCAGACCCGATGCCAGTTCCCTGCAGAGAGAATGCCCGTCCATTTTTTCAACAGTTATGCGCACTCAAAAATAAAAAATGTTCCTATCAGCATATTTGGCCAATATGGGCAATGTTGACTGCATTTAATCAACTACATATTTCGCTTCCATGACTAAGCACATACTGCTTTTAGCATCAGCTTAATGATAGACAATCGTTTAATGAGGTTTCTTTGTATGGAAATGTAAGATGAGAAACTTTTTTCCTCATGCTGATTGTGGGGGAAAAACCTTATCTTATATTTGAGTATATATGCTATTTTTATGATCACAGATCTACGAAAAAAGAAATGGAAATGACCATAATCTACATAACTTCGGACTTTCTGCTATTTTTTGCAGAAATAAATTGTTCATGCACAAAGGAACATTTTGAGAAATGTGGATTGTCATTGAACCAGATAGTGTTGTTGATAAGGGGTGAGTTTTCAGATGGGTTAGAATGGGTTGAATTTACAGAAACATTAACTGGAATTTCCAGCTGTCCAGCCTGCCAGACAATGGGTGGGGAGGGGCCAGGGAAAAGCTCTCCCGCCACCCCCACACGCAGCCACCACCCGCCCTCCCCTGCTTCATGTTATCTGAAAACCCCTGCTGGGTTATTTCAGATTACCAGAATTTGTACATAACAGGTAATCGTCTTACCCCAGAGATGCCAGATAACAAAGATTTTGCTGTATCACATGATAAAAGTGACTGTCCAGCTATGAAAAGAGCCAGCCAGCTACAAAGTTAGTTCTTGAAAATGTTTAACAATTCTATAGCTGGTTTCTCTCCAGCTTCAATTTGAACATGTAGCAGGGCCCTGAAAAATCCATGCTTCTCCTGAACAAGGGATTTGACACATGTGGCAGTTAATCACTTTCTGGGCTACTTTACAGTGCATATACTCTTATGTTCTGATAACTACAGAGGTTACATGCAAGGGTTTTCATCTGTCTATTATGCTACATCAGAATAAACTCCTCTGCAGTAGAAGTTCCATAAAGTTGATTTTACTGAGATCCTGTTGTGCTTTTGAATAAGGGATTCATGCACATTATCCCTATTCTTGACAACTCTGAAATGAAATTTCTCAAATCATATAGTAAAGAGAAAAGTTTTATCTGTTCATATATGGAAACATTTTTTGCAGCATAGAAGGGTGGCAGAGGGGGGATTTAGAGAGGACACAAGGCAGTGGATCCTGTTACACTCCATGAAATATGACATGTTCATCCATGAAAAATAAAGTAAAAAAAATACAGCCTTAATTCATGCTCCATGGCTAGCATGCATTTGTAACTTAGCGCTAACATACCAATACAATATAAAAACAGTAAATTCAAATTACTCTTAGCCTGAGGTAGATGAAATTATTCCATTTTGAAGAAAAGCTTACTGCATAAACATAGCATTAAAATAGTTTATTTTAAGTTTAAAGTAGCAGTATGTCCTCCCCATATTATTATATATTAAAATTTCCATTCATACCTGAAGGGAACAGTTGGAGAGAGTAGCTTGGGAACTTTAAAAATGAACATCATAATAATTACTTTAGGACTATATGGTAGATCCAGCTTTTATATACTTACATTAATGGGCCATATTAGCTGAGTTGTTCACATGTATGCTTTTCATTGAGTATGGACAATTGCTTGTTCTAGTCATGTTCATTTCTCTGAGCAACAAATAAGATATCAATATTGTTAATATGTTAAATCTCATTTATTAATACAAGTGGTTGGATTTTTTTGTTTAATTGTGAAAATCTTCCTATTGTACTCAGATATTAGGATTGTATTTTGCAATTAATTGTTATGTATTTTAACTCCTGTGGAGCTAGAAAAAATGTCATCAACAGCATTTTATTTATTTCTAACTTTTGCTTTTCTTCTTCCCTCCTGGGTTTTGCCTGCTTTGGCCAACTAGAAGTAACTTGTTTTTTCTTGGCTGTAAGTCAACTGCCTCTGTTTTTTGTTTTGATGTTTAATTATCTTGTTTATGAAAAGAACAGAAAGATCCTAGTCAAATCATGTTCTTAGACAAAGCCATACATTTCCACGTTAGATGTAATAACAAAATACCAAAAATAAATAAATAAGAAACATTTCTATTTTTCTTTAGGATATGTCAGCTCGAGGATCATCTTCACAGCTTCCTAAACCTTTTGATCCTGAGCCAGTAGCTAAATATGGCACACTGGATGTGACTTTTGACTATGACTCACAAGAACAGAAGCTTCTGGTAACAGTGACAGCTGTCACAGACATTCCAACATATAACAGGACAGGTGGAAACTCATGGCAAGTACACCTAGTTCTTCTACCTATAAAGAAACAGAGAGCAAAAACCAGCATCCAACGGGGACCATGCCCTGTCTTCACTGAGACATTCAAATTTAATCATGTTGAATCTGAGATGATTGGGAATTATGCAGTTCGTTTTAGACTGTACAGTGTACGTCGTGTGAAAAAAGAGAGGATTGTGGGGGAAAAGATTTTTTACTTAACAAAATTGAATCTTCAAGAGAAGATGTCAGTACCAGTGATCTTGGAACCTTCTTACAGTATTTCTGTGAGTATTAAACAAAGCAGAATTAAGTGTGTGTGTGTGTGTGTGTGTGTATTATGTAATATATATAGTCCTGAATTTAGTAACAATACTGTCTGTATTTATACTCAGTGCATCTACTAGCTTTTCCCCCTGGTGCACTTATGCAGAATAATAGTTTTCTTACAGATTCAGACATCAAAATAGCTACTGTCATTGCATTTATTTGTCACCTATAAAGGCTGCCCATAGTTTTACATTTTAATCTGTAACTTCCACAGTACAAATGTTCTTTCTATGAGGAGTAGGATAAAATCATTGTAACACCTTGAAATCGGACATATGATTTTTGCAAGACATCCTATTAATCAATACACTTTCATTTTTACAAAATCTGTATTTTCTGCTCCTTTCCATTTTGATCTGATCCAATTCATTATACAGTGTGTAAGTTTTGCCATAGATAAAGAAAATGGGAAACTTGAAGGGGCCTGAACTCATGTTTTAAAAATTTCGAAGTAGGAAGATATGAATGATTAATAGGTTTGGTTCTGTGGCTGAACCAAAGAAAAAAGGAGGAAAATGGTTCTGATCAAACTAAATATTAATGTATTTCAGTTTTCCACTGTTCTTTGAGTCCTAGAAGCAGGGCAATAACTGTTTAAGTTTGGGGAGCTGCAAGGACCACTTAGAATTTGTAAACCCCACTTCTAGGTAGGCTAAAAATCCAGAACCAATCCTGTCATACCTTGGGGCTAGTCTGTTTTGTTGTTGAACCATATTTTAAAGCATTTGAAGTTACCAAATAAAAAATCGGCACGTACCTGAATAATAAATTATTTTTATTTTTATCAATTCTGTATCAAGTATATCTTCTGTGTAGGGGGCTTCAGTGTTGCATCTCTACATGCTAATAGCAAGTATTTGTGGTACACATAAAATTATCATAACTGCTGTGCTACGTAATCTATAATGTGGAATCTAAATGATCAGTTTTCTTTACTTCCACAAAGAGAGTTTTCTTGTAGAAGAGAGAGCAGTTCTTGCAATACTTCATGAATAGCTTTTCTGGTACATATACATTTCATGTCTGCTGTTGAGCAGGCATAATGATCTTTTATCTTCTATCCCTGTGCCAATCATCTCACTGTGAAGAATTCAGTTTTTAAGTTTCTCACTCCCCAGGACATTCTCCTTTCAGAAGTATGCTGATTTCTTAGCTGTGATCTGAATGGTAGTGACTAGACAGCATTGGCAGGTATGTGCATCAAGTATTAGTTACAGGTACTTAATGCAGCATCTGGAGTGTCCAAGAAACATTTGAGTTCACATTGTCTTTTATACTAGGGACAGACATTCATAAGGCCTGAGTCTGAATTGATTCAGTCTTTGCAGGTTAATCTAACCTGCCTTGGCTAAATCAGTTTTGTAACTGAACTGACATCCCAGAAATGCAGAAACATGCCTGCAGTGGCTCAAGCTAGAAGCCAGAGGGCGTTAGAGCAGCCCTCCTTTCCACAGTATGGAGCTGAGGAGGCTGTAGCCTGGCTCTGGCAGGAGCTCTGATTAGCCCAGCAGGGAATTGATAAGTGTATATCACCCAATTAAAAAAACAACAGAAGAACATTACCAACAACTTATTGATTCTGACTGTTGATTCAGCACCAGCCATAGCCAGCATGTGGTCTGGTAGCTAATATACAGACACTTCCTCAGAAAGGCACAGGGGAGGGGGGGAATTCCTGCTTAGCAGGGAGTGGTGTGGGGGAGGGAGGGGGCCTGCAGCCAGGGAGCAGAGGGGAGAAGCCAGCCCTGGTGTGGAGCAGAGAACCCTACCCAGCCCAGAGAGCATGCTGGGAGTGCCTGGTTTATCTTAAACCAGCAAGGGGTCTGGGACAGACATTGCATAAACCAGTTTGAATCAAATCAGTTAAGCCTAATACTGATTATTCACATGGATCATTTTAGAAGTTGGTGTTTACTCAGCCATTATAAATTTCTCCATGCATCATGTTTAAGGCTTGTTTCATGTTGCTCGGACCTATATGACCATCTAGATAGTGGCTCTACAGAACGTGCTAGGGCTGTATTTATCAGCTTATTGCTGTATTTACTCAATTCCAAAATGCAGCTTTTCCCCCATATAACATGGGGGTGGAACCCCCTCATCTTGCAATCAAATATGAGGTGGCAGAGGGGCAGGCAGTTGCTGTGGCTCCTACCTCTGGGCCACCTCTGCTATCCCTTGCCATCTTCCCTCTACCCTATCTTTCCTCCCCCTTCTGCCCTGCCACTTACCTTTGTCCCAGTCCTGCTCTAGCCGGGGGCATGGATAAAGCATGCTCCAGCTCCAACCTCACTCCTGCGGTGCTGGGGACATGGCAGCTCTGCCACCAGGTCTGGGGCTCAGATGCAGCTGCTGCTGCTGCTACTACTGAGTTGCACTGGGGCCAAGTACAAATGTGCTTTGTTCCCTAGCCTGGAGTGGGGTCAGAGTCTACCAGAGCAAGGGTAAGTGGCAGGGGTGGGGGGAGATTTGGGGTGGGAGGGTAGGCAGAGGCTGCAGAAAGCAGGGAGATGAGTGAAAGTGGGAGCAGGGGGCTGAGGCTGAGTGTGGGGGGGGGCAGAGGGCAGGGGGGCAGGCAGCAGAAGGCAATGCATGGGAAGTCGAAGGGCAGGGATCAAGCTGCTTACCCCGCTCCCAACACTGCTTGATTTGCCTCCTTGCCATATGTTTCCCAGTTACTGTGGTAGTGGGGATGAATTTATGATGACCCTCCAAAAATTGGATTCTACACATGGAAAATACAGGGTTGCCTATTTGACTGGTTAAATAACATTCAGTCAAACATTGCTCAAAATTTGTAAAGATATAAATAAATAAATTCCCAATAGGTCCAAATAATGCACAGAAAAGACACAAATTTTCCCTTAAGAAATATGTTAAAAAACAATAAAAACTCATATTTCTGTCAAGAAAACAACAAAAAAATGTAGTTTTTAAGAAAATTACTGCAGTCTTTAACCAGTCAAAAATATGCAGTCAACTGACTGGTCAAATTGACAATATTTGACCAGTCAGTTGACCAGCTTACCAACCCTAGGAAAATTTTGTAACAGATTTATAAATTTTCCAAGTCTATAATGGGGTCATCTTGGATTCAGGTTGTTGCACAAATAACTAGTTGCTCAAATGATGAGTGAGACCTTATGAGGGAGATAAGGCAAGATGCTGTGTCTATTGATTATAATATTTAACAGAGCGCTCATACATGGACGCGCACACACACACGCATGCACACTTCTGCAGATGCTAAGATATGCCTTTCATTATTTGGATTCACATCTTTCTTGTGCTTTGACTCTCTCTTTGCAGGTACATGCTTCTTCTAGAGTTCTTTTCTTTCCCTCAGATCTTACATTCTAACACAGAAATTCTGAGTTAATTTTCTCCATTTCAGACCTGAAGATTTTCAGCCGAGTATTTACTTTTTAAATCCGTGCACTCTGTATCCAGTTTCAGATGCACATTTCTATTCATATGGTACCTTTTGAGAGAGGTCCTTGTAGCCCTAGCAGGTTAGCCTTTTGTCAGTGCTTTTGACTCATCTAATTCTGACCTTGAGCTGCATGTTTCACTGTACAATTCCTGTCTTTCTGATGTGCTTAATCAGCTAGCAGCGGGGTCCCAGGAGAACTCCACTTCTTACCCTTTTCTGTAGTTTACGTGATAGCTGTAAAAGCCAAAGCAGATCATTTTCAAACAGCAAAACATATGGTGATCCCCAGGCCATGAGATTTAACACAACCTGAACAAATCATATGGGGCATCACTAGCAGACTTAATTAGAATTGGGTGAACTATTCATGGAAAACAGTTTAATTGACAAATATTGTCCCCTTTTCCGTATTGTGAACAGATTTTGAGCATTACAAATTGTTCATTATTACAAGCGATTCAATGAATGCTTTATGCAAACAAATGGTAGTTCATTGATTGTCTGTAAACTGGATTCAGTGCACAGTTGAGATCACTTAGTCATATTTTTGTTCCTTGAATGAATGGTTGTAATGGTAGAAAAGCAGCAAGATTTTTTGCCCTTTGATTCTTTCCATTGTGTGTGGGAGTAGTTCATAGAGCGAGGAGGGGGCTGGTCAGGAGGATTAAGGACATTTGAGTATATTTTGGCTTTCTTTCCTTCCTCCCTGCAACAACAGACATCAGTGATTGCACAGATGGTGAGAAAAGGCAGGAAAGGGAAACAAAGCTCTGAGGCTGTGTTCAGGAGGGAAGTAGAATTTTGTCAAAAATTGAAGTTCCGAAAAAATTTACCTTCTAATTCTCACTAATTAGGGAAGATTTCGTCCAAGGTTTGGTCCAAGTCTGCCATTACTTGTCCTTCTGAGATTGGGAGTCAGGACAAGCTAAAAAAATATTAATGAAGGACATCCCTTTCAGTTGTCTTCATCTCTATTCCATAAAATTTGCTTAGTATTAATGTGTCAGTCTACCCAGAATCAGGTTCTTTCCCTGTTATACTGTGAAAAAAATGCATTAGACAAATAATTCTTAACATTTGGAGACTTGAGCACCCCCTCCATAACTTTTCTGAATTTAGTGGCACCCCATTTTGGGAACTAATTTATTTCTCACTCTGTGGCACCCTTGAAAAGATCTCACTGGGTGGCAGGGTGGACAGCGGTGGTGCACAGTGTTCAACACTGGCAGGGGTTGTTTAATGGGCAGATTGGGGAACTTGGGTTTGGATCATTAGAACCCTGAAGGAGGTGGGACCTAGATGATAGGGGAGGTGCAGAAGTTGGTGCCAGGTGAGGGTGGCAGGGGCATCAGCTCATTCCGGCTTCTGTTCCCTCTCTGCTCCCACCACTGCAGTTGCTCCTCTGGGAACTTGCATGCCAATAACTGGGGCCACTTGCCCCTGCAGCCCCTCCCACCACCTCCATGGGAGAACAACAGATGTGCCATACTGGGTCTCATTCTAGCCATTATGAAAATTTTATTT